ATAATATGTAATAGCAATTCGCACTATATGTAAGCTTAATTTTATTGCATTAACTGTTTTAATCCAAGCGTAAATAAGTATTTTTTTTTAGAATCGTGTTTATACATCTCAAGTCAATTCATTAAGTAGCGACATTGAACTCCTTATAATATGAAGTGTTCGTAGTAATAGCGCTTATTGAAAATCTTACAAAAAATAGTTAGTAAATTTAACACTTCATATTATGTAATACTCACTCAGGTAATAACAAATAAAGAAAAAACCTCCAATTGCGTATTTATTAGAAATTCTAGATACTTTTGGTATGCCAACGTTTTACAGATAGTAGTACAGACACACCGATGTTTATGAGAAACTAGGATTTATTTAAAAAATGACAACTCTTAAAATATTGTGATTGTTCAACTCATTTTGGGTGTGACTCGCTGTAAGTGCAACTTAGCCATCCTGCTAGGCACTCCGTCAATCGGACGATGCCTGGTTAAATAATGGCAAGGTTAGGTTTTCTGGACAGATGGCGCCACCATTATAGTTTTTAGTAGGCTCATCCTCGCCACAGCAGCTTTATCGAAAAAAAAAGTATGACTAAAAGTCGCTCCTCGATGTCTTCTTTAGTTTAAAAAAAACTCTCATGATAATTGGTCCAGTCATTTTTGAGTTACAAATGGTATAACTAACATGAATTTGTTTTATTTATTTGGATGATTAATTATTGCAATCATGATTTTGAAGGGTTAACTTTATTATAGGCACTCTACAATATTAAGACAGTATTCTTTAGAAGATTTAAATGTTGTTACAACACAAGTTCTTTTATAAATATTTACTAAGTCTTATTGTTTGGGGGAAAAAATACGAATTAAGAATCTAAAGCTGATATTATTATGGATACAGTTACATTGTTAGTTATACGTATCATGTGGACGCCATACAATAATTTATGTTTTTATTCCATAGCATTTTATTTCATATTTGTACCTACACAAAAGTACAAAACACACTTTCGATTGTAAATATCAACATGGTTGAGTTTTGATATTAATAAACAATAGGTATGTAAATGTTAAAAATAGAGCTATTTAGTGTTACCACTGTTAACGACACCTTCCATAAAACGTATTAATTGCCATTTTAGAAAATCTTCTAGACTCGAGTTTATTTGAACCTTTAGTCAGTCGAACATTAATTCAGCACAACATTCCAAATGCAGACGTTATTGCTTATAAATACCTACCTATATGTGTTTAAAAATTATTTTATTATGTAGGTAATATATTCTTTGTAAGTTAGCAAATGAATACATTTAAAACTGCGTTGATTAAATGTGTGAAAGTGTATCATTTTTGAATAATCGAATCAAAAGTAATACCATATAAGGTTATTAAAACAATTTTACTTTATAGGAACGCCCCGACGTACAAAACGTACCCATACGACGTTTATAGTGCGGCAAACTTCAGTCGTACCGAATTTTTAGGCATATAATAATAAGAAGAAATAACTACGGTTAAATATTTTCTTTGTGCGTAAATCGCACTGGAACCCGCGCCTCTTTGTGTGCCACCTAGCTGTCGGTTATAGATATGGTTCACATGGGGAGGATTATTATTATTATTATTATTATTATTATTATTATTATCATCGTCGTGATCGCGACGAGTGTTATTTTTGAGTTTGGCCCGACACCGCGGCACCACATTGTCCACATTATCCCTAGGCCAACTTGTTTGTGTTCATGCATGCAGCATGTTGCTATCGTTTATTATTTGGGTAGAATATATTATATACATAGATGTGTTCGCTGGTGCACGTGCAGTATAATAAATCACACAAAAACACACCCTAAGCAACCGGTCCGTGTATTCATGTTCCTTTTACAATAATTTAAAAGTCGGCGTCTCGTTCTCGCACACTCCCTCGACAGAAACGATGACGGGGGCGGGAGAGAGAATCGTCGCCGCCGACGCCGAAAGCCTCGTATATACCCAAGGTCAAATTCCAATCACCGAGCAACACCGTAGCACACGGTGCACGAAGACCACTTCGTTCGAACATTTTCGACCCTCTCACAAAACACTTTTGTATTTATATAGCTATATAACAGCCAACGGGGGTGGCCAAATCACATTTTGCGTCTTACAATTTTTACTAATATAATAATGTGTACCTATTATTCTTTTTTCTGCTATTCATATTATTATTTTTCATTATATTTGGTGGCTAGTGACTTTCTTATCGCCGGCTATCACTGCAAGACATCAGCGCTGTTTAATAATATTATTTCATTTATTAAACAAAGCCTAAATAGATATTTAATATATTGTATTATAGGTACATAACTTGTAATATACAATACATTGTATTTTAATCAATTTAATTATAAGGTGATGATAATTATTGAACTGAATCACCGTTTGATAGACACAGCTACTAACTTATGATACAAAATACTGCAGATGGCTTGATTTGAAACATGCGTATTAAGAAAAAATACAAAGATTCAAAAAAAGTTTTATGCGGCTAACAAGTAATACGAATGTTGTACTAAAATAACACACATTCACTAACGCATTTTAGTAGGTTTCTACAAAACGATTAAGTTCGGGCCACGCCGTTATCATTATCTTACATTCTTGCCTATAATAATAATTAATGGTTTTTGATATTTAGTATCAGTGTTTTTTAATGACTGAATTTCTAGAAATACATTAAGTACCATTAACTGAAAGAAAAAACGGGCATCATACTATATTATTATCGACCGTCGATAACGTGTATACAAAACATAAGAATACAATGTTCGTAGTTTCCAGTTACTCATTTCATAATTGATATTGATTACAAACCAATATTTTGTTTCAGAACTTGGGATATTTTTTTAATATTCATTGATTGAAAAATGCTAAATAGAAATGTATATTAAGATATCTATAATTATGATTACAATTACAAAAATGCATTTATAGAACAAATACGTTTTAAAATACCAAAAAAGCCTAATAAGCTGTAATTTTTAATACTACCTATAATATGATATATTAAAAAAAAAGGAATTTTTATTGAAATCCACGCCTTCCTTATAACTTATAACTCTTATATCAACTAATTAAAAAGTAAATAATTTAATTTTCTAGACTCCCAAACAGTTTGTAATAGTGACCAGTGCGTGGCAGTTTAATAATAAAGAAGAGAGATGATAGAATTTCATAGTAATTAAAAATACTTCGCACACATTGACACAGTTGAAATACAAATGCTATAAAAAATGCCTAGCATTACTCCTTTCAGCCTAATAAATAAGGTTATTTGTAAAAGCAAATCTAATATTAATATTGTATTTGAAATAACATCATATAATTAAGAATGGATAGCAGTCGATTGTCAATTTTTTTCTTAGTTATCTAAATAGATTTAAAAATGAAGAAAGATAACAATGAATTTTAGTGTTGAATATAATAATTGTATAACTTAAAAAAAAACCTACCATGCCGTATATATATATTATAATACTGAAATACTTTCTTATCCTTGGGGCAAACACAACAATTTTTTTTATTCGCCACAATGACCAGAGGTATTAATAATAATATTATAATCTTCAAAAGTATTAAAATAATAAATGCGTAGCGATAAATATTCTTATGAACTACAGATATATAACACAGTTAGAAAACCGACATGGATTCAATACTGCTCATTGTTATAAGGAGTACAAGATAGGCAATTTCTTATGCTTATTTTTCGTAACATATCTCAAAATATCTCGTATATTCAAATTCTTCATGAAATTTACTTAAAAACGACTTTTTTACATTGTGTAACTTTAATGGTACTAAAATTTTAAACTTTTAATATTTAAAATCAATTAATTTAGTTTTAAAGTGTTAAGGAGTAAAAATTCAAAAAAGTGGAAAAGTAAACTTTATAAACTACAAATTCAAACATTTTTTCAGAAGTTTTATCCGATGACTAGGTCTAAGTAAATCGGTACAGTTGGTATGAGATAGGTCTATAAAAAACAAACAAGATCGAATCCCCTAAATGTTGACGTTGGTAATATGGCTGACTCTTGTAACGAAGGAGATCAGTGTTTACATTTGTTCATTGAAATTTAAAATGAGATATGTCAATAACTGAAGTAAATAAATAAATTGGAATTTTTATTTCATTGTTATTCGGTTTTTATCAATAATGACATTGTAAACATAGACAAAGACGTTCTCTTATCGATAATATACGTCAGCAATTTTCCCGACTAAACAAACTTACATTACATGTAATTATGTAGGAAGTCGTCTGTCTGGTTCTATTATATGTATAATATAAAATTGACATTGTTAAAAAAATATATTGTATATTTTCATTACTAAATTATTTTTGTGTCTATTCTACGAAAATCAAATAAGTACTTATTATGTATAGTAAATTTATGGCATAAACTTGCGTCTTCAGACCGTTACTAAATATCAATAATAATCCCCACCTACCCCACTCATTGCAAACTGAACTTGTTGATCTCGCAGAAAATATGCAGAAGCAATAATTATTTATTAACACGCGGCAATTGGGCGTAGGACGTTCGATCGTCGCTATATTGTAACGAATAACTTTTATTTTTTCTTGCATTTAAAATTCTTTATATTATTTCTTACATAAATCTGCGATTGAACCTCGGTATTATAATTATAGTATAGCCAGTCGCCCCGCCAGCACTAGGGCAGTGGTGCTGAAGGACGACTTATAATGTTTTGAATAAGCCATATTTTGCACATCGCAATTATTGTAAAAAAATAAATTGAAAAATAATTAAAATGAAGTACGTTATTTTGACTAGATTCGTAAACTGGTCATTATTTTCATTCATAGAAAATAACAAAATTATTTAAACATTTCATTGAAATGATTTACAGTGTAATTATTTTTGAAGCCGCAGTCATAATACTATGCATAGTCGTATTGTGTTATCGGTGTACCATACTACCATCCGATCGTGTCACCATCCTACCTAAACTGCATTGGATCGAATATACGACGATGTGCCTACGACTTAAAACTATAATGAGAGACAGTCGATTTAAAATAGTAATTATTAATTGGATATTTCGGCGGCCGTTTATTGCTGACCGGACAGATTGTCGGGGGACGATTAAAAAAATAAAATGGACGGTGTCGGCTTGTAATAATATGAGGGGGGAGCCGACTCGTACGCGTAGACGCCACACTGTTGTTTGCGGAGAGTGGATAGGCGCTATCATTTTTTATTCAGTATGCGCGGATGGCCACTGACGCCGACTGGTTACAACTGTTTGTGACAACTCTACACCGCACGCTGCAAAGGGACATCGTGTTCACGCCTTCTACAGTTCGGACGTGAAATCCATACGTTTGGCCATCGCTTGTACAATATCACCTATACGGTTTTCAAGTCAGTTGCATCGAATTCGATTGTTGTCATAGCTGTTTGATCAGCTGTTGGTTGTCACCTGTATTCGTTGGAAAAGGTATGAATTACTTATTTGTTCGTTATTATTATTATTATTATTATTACTTTTATTATTACTATATCGGTATACAATATACGATGTAAACTGCGGTATTATTTTTCGAGTGAAAATGTATTCTATTGTTCACACGATGTTTGTCTCTCTTTGGTTATTCAAAAATATTATATAACTAGTATTCAGTATAATACAATGTAGGTACCTAATGTTATTATACTATTTTTTTCATTTAATGATAAATGTTTTACCGTGACTGTGTTATAACGCACTGTATATGTGTTGAAGTTTTATAAGAGTGGCCTCCGGCCTACACTATAACGCTTGACACCTCTGTAGAAGTAGATTAACAACTTATGAAAATATATCGGCTATTTTGTATTTAAATGTGTCCTCAACTGTTTACAATTTACATACATTACTGCTGTTATAATGAAACATGATTTACATAGTCTACGAAATATAAAACGGTTACCGTTTCATGAAGTGGTCCACCAGTTTTTAAAATTTATTTAATAAGGCATAAACATTTTTAAATATTACTGTGTACAACTTATTAACGTACCTACCTATCTTCATATATATAGTATAAATATAACTTAAATTTATATATAATATATGTAAAAATCTTGTATAGTATTAAATAATAAATACTTAATTAATTAATTAATAAGAAGATGTGAATGTCTTATTTCAAAAAGTGAAGGACCACATTGTGAAAACAATTATTTTAAGTGATCATTTTATGAAATGATGACTGTTTTGAGAAATTGTTAGGTAATTCACAAAGTGTGAAGTACTAAATGATGCATCATAATACAAAATAAAACTACACAATTTAAATTTAATATGATTACTTTATTATAACTCGATCAAAACGGATGAAATTAGTATGAAAAATACGCACGGTATCCACTTAGTAAAATGTACAACTTCTTATGAAAATATCGATTTTATGTAGTAATATAATATTTGTATTATAAACATTAACAAAAGAGAGATTACAACTATAAAAATAAAAATGTCAGCCTTATTAATAATACGCTTGACCCATTGTATGTATAAGCAAAACGTATCGTGTGATAATTTCTTTACTATAATATACTGATACCTTACGTCATTAACTATTCAGTCATGAACTTTCTATAAATATTAAACGCTGATAGTTTGTTTAGTTTTGTATTTTGATATTTCTTATTTTCGCAAATTGTTTTGAAACGAGATCGTTAAATCGCTTAAATAATTCATTTAGGTGTTTAATAAATGTTTTTGCCCCGTCACGGTAGATGATCCTTGGATTATACGAGAGCGCTTTCAACCATGTACAAACGGAATCATCACTGTGACACTGTCTTACGTTTTCAATAAGTAAATTATCCGGAAAACTTCATTAATAGATACATCCTCAAAGCTGGAAGCTTCTTTGATTAAGGCATCCTACGCCAATAACATTTTGTCCACAGATTACACTCTACAGGAATAATGGCTATAGAATCAGCCAAATTTGATCTTTTTCTTTTTCTTTTTCTTTGACTAATAAAGGGTAATATTTTACAGGTTACACTAAAGTCCGTTTTTAAATAATCTAAATTACAATTTACCTAGAAGTGTCGTAAAATGGATACCGACTTATCGATTTATTTACGTATGTAAATGTATTTGGATACGACATATATTAAAATGTGTTTTTCCCGATTGAATGACGTTAACAAGAACATCGTAGCCGAATCAACCGATGAACAATAGTCGACGGTGACAAAAGTAACACCGTGCGCGTGTCGACCTAGCTACGTCCTCTAATGCATGTCTATATTATTATGAGTGTTGTTAGGGTCAGCACAGCGTATTATACATAAGCGCGTTTGCCGTTTAAGTTTCCAAAACGAGTGTGGGGTAGGTCCTACTAGTTTTTTTTATTCGATTAAAGCCACAACAACAATGGTCATTGGCTCATGCCTCGTGGCATTATACAGTAACCATATACAATTATTATTATATTTACATATATTTTATATAATGGTACCTACCTAAAATATTACGAATGTATTATGCCGACGCGATGTCTCGTGTGCAAGTCAGTGACTCGTGGTCTGAATATATTATAATATATTTTATAAGCCACTTGAGTACTACGCACACACACACACACACACACACACACCTGTTGCGGTGTCGATTCCTAGATGTCTCAACCAACAGCTGCAGCGCCTATTGTAGTCGGGTGCGTGCATAAATGTTGTTGAAATATTGTCCGGACAAAAAAAATAATCATAGTATTTTTTATTGTTATAAGATAAAAATAAAAAATGCTCTATTCCAAAATTTGTAAATTGGTATGATTATTGATGTGAAGTTTTAATTTTAAGTTGAGCAGGCTACTATAAGTTAGCTATAGTCATTGTTAATGAAATTACTAATATGGGATAAGTATTTAAGTTTATTGTCATGTCTTTATTGACTATTAATTGTATTGTATAGATAATAATATTTGATGGATTAATAGAATAAATAATTATTAAATTAATAAAATGCGATATCAGTTCAAATTGAATTTGAATAATTTTAATGTTCTATCTAAAATTTAGGTAACATAATACAATTTAAATGCAAATGTTAGTTCATATAGGTACGTTTAATATACATAAAAAGTTATAAACTGCACTCGAATAGCAGATAATATCGAGTTACTGTGGGCTACGATCTCAAATATGGTTCATCATACATATTGAACATTTCTTTTATTATACATTTCTTAGATTATATCAGTCATCACAGCTTAGATAATATCAGTCATCACACTAAACGTATTAATTATGGACTGTACAGTGTATACTAACACAGAATAGGTTTAATGTGTCTTACCCCAAAGTTAAAGTATAATTATAAGTACTTATAAACTACATAATGAGTGTTATTCTTAAATTTATTACCCACCACGAAAAACATCCTAGATCCGCCACTGATACCTCTACGTATAGTAATAATGTGTAGTCTAGCTATAGTATTGTAGATTCTAGTGATTCTACAATGTAGAATACAGGACATAGATATTAATATATTTTTAGTAACGTTTGTATGACTTATCGGTATATGTGCAAATGACTTTCGATGCGGTATCGGTCGATTGTCTATACAGTTGAGCAGAGTACATATTATACTTAATACTACTCCGCTTTTAATAATTTTAAATTCCTGTACAGCTTTTATAAGCTGTTTAGCCACTAGCTCGAAATTCAATTTTTAAATATGAAATGTATAGTGCGATTCAACAGAGCAAAAAAAATATTAAGACAACAATAAAAAGCAGTGAGAACTATATTTTTTTTATCAAATGTTTTGTTTTGTAATGAATGAATAAAGTGTACACCATTATTTTCAAAACTGGATAATTATTTCAAGATGTTTACAATTAAATTAATCACTCAGTATGTTTACTGCATTGCCAGTTTAAATATTCATGTATATTGACTTATGGAAATTAATAATTTAACTTTCAAATTTTATTTGGAAAAATCAAGCCTAGTAGGTACAATACTATACAAGTTATCTTAACTGTGCATTTTAAAATTATCATAACTAACTTAAAAATAATTATATCAATAAAAGGCAACGTGGGGCCCTAATAATAATAATCTTAGCTTTAAATTGTATAATAGATCAGTTCACTCTAATATCAAAACTAACAGCACGTTAATGATTCTGGTGAACAATAATTTGCTACATCGAACCTTACACAAGTTGATGTTATGACACGATGACGTTTTACTGTCCCGAATATTAATAGTTTATTGTGGAGTATACATTTAGTTATCGAAACGCTCTCTCTCTCACACACACACACACACACACACACACACACACACACACACACACACACACACACACACTCTCTCTCTCTCTCTCTCTCTCTCTCTCTCTCTCACTCCCTCTCACGGTTGAGCGGGTACGGGGTTTAACATAGTCACCGACATTGCTTCACCACGTGTCACTTATTTACTCGTGAGTCGTTGTTATATACATATATATATATATGTGTGTGTGTGTGTGTGTGTGTGTGTGTGTAGGCTAAACCATACATCTGAGTACTACCACAAATAATTTTTGGTATATTTGGACCGTACCATGTTAGTTTATCTACAATTAATTTTTTGTAATTATTGTATGCAATAGATAATGTACAGTACATATTGTACCTGTGATATTCGTACCTCAGGATACTTTCAAAATACAGTTTCACATAATTAAAATAATATACATAATATACGAGTATAAAATAATATTTTAATAAATATTAGTAGTTTTTGATTTCATAGATTGGTATATATTTTGTTCTGGCTTACAAAATGTAATATTTACGATGATAAAAACTTTTAACAAAAGTATATTTTGCTATTATTGTATATTATGTATAATGTATACGTATTATTATAATGTACATTGTATATGATATTTATATCTATACATAAATTATAAATTTACTTCGTACACATAACGTCACTGTATAAATATTATTTTACACTTTTAGATGGGTAAATTATATTTAAACATATTCAACAAGTTTTAATTTTCTGTGTGGATTTCTGTACACACCCTGAACCTATTTTTCCAAACTGTATACGCTTGAAATGAGTATTGTAAGCATTTATAACCTTTGTTTTTACATCTGTTGTTTATATATTAATACAACTTTATAAGGCATACTTAGTAACGTATCATTGACTTTTGCATATACTTTAAATTATTATATTTTTTATGAACATAAGTATTAAACATGTACTCCTAAAATAAATTGTGAATCATTTAAATCAGATTAATTAGTCATCATTGTACCATGAATATCAGCAAAAATCAGTGACACTATCATAGACCATTACCATAGATCACGATGTCGATAAAATCAAATTTATTATAGCGTTGGTTATATTATAATAGTGTGATATACCACATATAATACAATATCCACTATCAGTACTCAGTAGTTGAGGGTAAACGTTCAGACATTT